CAGAATGAGAGACAGGAATCAAATTTTAATCATGTCCACATGGATATCAATTATCCTTGTATCATTTCTTGAATATGCTATAAGTTCTATTATATGTTTTGGAAACTCTATTAATATCAATTAACTGTAGATGCATACATCAATTTTCAAATCTCTTTTCTTATTCATTGGACCCTTCATGCCAGTTTCATGGGATGTTCTGGTTACTGTGGGGCTCCTGGTGTATCTTAAATACAGTATTATGATGTCTCCAGATTTTATTATTTTTGCTTCAAGATCCATTTGTTTACTCATTCTATTGTACTTCCATCATTTAGATGCCCCCTTGTACTGTTATCCATCCCCTTGCTCCAAGTCTCCATGCACACTGGGAAATCTTGGAACCCAGGGGTTCCAAGGCTAGGGGTTCAGAGGGCTGTGAATATATAAGTGCAAGGAACAACTTGAAATCTGCATCTAGGGCAGCTTGTTTATTGGGGTATCAGGCTAGTTCATATATAGTTTGAAGATAAAGGAACAAGCAAAATACACCTAGCTTGCATACAAAGGTGAGATTGGGGGCAGGCAGGCATTTATCAGTTCAAATACCAAAAAGTTCCCAAGCAGGATGGAGTGCAGGGAGGGAACACAATAGATAGAGAAGTGCAACAGAGGTAGCTTATCCCTTAGTTTATTAACTGACAGGCTGTCAACCAAATAACACATGTTGGCACCAGCTTTCTGGTGGGAAGGAAAAGACTCTCTGGCTTTTAAAACAATATGACCTTTTGCCCCCATGAAGTAGATCTAGATTTTTCAACCTAAGTCAGAAATGAATGCCTGACTCCTACTATAAAATCTCAGAAAGATTTCAGCTTATAAGCACACTCCACTGTCTTGTATGATTCTGTAAATCCACATATGTGCATGAAAAATATTATTGGGATTTCACTGAGTATGCTAATTGCCATGGGAAACATAGACTTTTAAAAATTAATACTAATTCTTACAACAAATTAATATACAAATTTCTCCATTTTTATCTTTTCAGATTCTATCAGCAATTAACTAATAGCTATGGTTGAAGTCTGTCAATTTATTGCTAGATTAATTTTTTGATGTTACTGATAACAAGATTACTTTTATTGCTATTTCTCAGGAAACAATGAACTGATTTTTGTATAATGATACTACATATCACTCCTTAATCAGTTTTGTTTTCATTTCATATAATTAGGGTGAGTCGTTGGGATTTACCATGTATAAGAATAAAATGATTTGACCTTATCTTCACTAATTATATATTTTATCTTCATAATTATTATAATTCAAATTCTGATACTGCAGTAAAAAGATTGGAGAGAATGGACACCTGTGACTTATCGCTGATAATATAGTCAATTATTCATTTATTAAAAACAGATAGTCTTTTCATACAATATATTCTGATTAGAGATTGCCATTTCTCTATTCCTCCCAATTACCTCCCCATTTCCCCTCATCTCCAGATCTACTCCCTTTTTGTCTCTCATTAGAAAAGAAGAAGCTTCTAGGAGATAAAAACCACGCATGACAAAATAAAATATAATAAGATGAGGCAAAAACTATCGAATAGATAGGACATGGCAACCCAACAGGAGGAAAAGAGTTCCAAGAGCAGGCAAAGGAGTCAGAGACCCACTTGTTCTCATAGTCATGAGTTCCATAAAAATACTAAGCTAGTAGCTATAGTATATATGTAGAGGACCTAGTTTAGATCCAATTAGGCCCAGTGTTCACTGCTTTAGTCTTTGTGAGCTCATATGGGGCTTATTTAGCTGATTCTCAGAATCTTGTTCTCCTGGTGTCTTCCATATCCTCTGACTCTTAGAATTTTTCCAACTCCTTTTCTAAGCTGATGATGCATATAGTCATTTCTTTAGGGTATTTTTATATACAGCAAGGAGACAGAGCTAGGTATGTCAGGTGTACATACCTTTTATGGCATCTTTTTAGTGCTTAAATTGTTCAGTCATTTTTATCCTAAAGATACATATAGTTTTATCATGTGCTTTCTCTGTATGTATTGATGTAATGCAGTACATTATTAATATATATGGGTTGAATTATCCTTACAGTCCTGGAAGGCCATAAAGTTGATTCTGGTGGACCATCTTTAAAAA